AGATCTATTGACGGGTTGTGGTTCCCACCCTGCTCTTTATACATATTATTGGGAAGCAATTGTTAGAGAGAACTTAATTAAATGTCCTAAATGGTGACATACAGAGCGATTTTCATGAACAGTACCCTTGTACAGGTTGCTCTGTACTCGTATGTCATGCGCTGTCCTGTGGGTCTGTGACCCCACTTCCAGTAACAACTGTGCAGTGAATAATCCACAACGATTGCAACCAAAAAACCTGCAGATTGATTCACAAACTCATCCCACTTTGAAATTCTTACAGCCTGAAAGATTGCTTCAGTGCACTGAAACGCATGCTTGCGAGCATTTCATTGGCATCAGCAGGACTTAAACACAAACCCAAGTGTGGTCCTGAATCTGGGACTGGGGAGGTAGTTTGTAATTGCATAGAAAGTTGTTTGATCCTCTTCGTTTCTGAACCATCGGCCCCACTCCAGTCTCTGGTGAAAGCTCATCTGCACTGAGGGTTTCAGCAAATCTCAGACCTGCTCACTATATGCTGCAGCATCGAGGACAGACTTCTCTATGTGCCATCCAAAACACACCCACAATGCTGGCATTTCTGAGGCACGCTCCCATGGATGAAGTTCCTTTTCAATCTTTGACTGTGATTGCTTTTTAAATAGTTTAGTTTTGGTTTTTTTTTTCATTAACTAGCCAAGATAGGTTGCCGGTCTTACTTTTTCTCATTTCACTTAACTTTTTACTCAGACTGCATCCCTCTGACCTGAAACTGCTCTTTTCTGAAGAAATCTGGGTGGTTTTGAACAGATGTGGAGACATGACAGAGTTCATTTAGAACATAATCAACAGATAATAATAGGGTACTCAGAGAAATTGCAGTGAATGACAAGTACCATCAGCCTTTTCAAAACAGCGAAATTAGACATTTTTAACTCCACATGCACAACAGTGTTAGAAGAAGCAGGAAATGACTAATTTGGACTCCTTTTATTATGTTCTAGTTTTTAAAAAATGATATTGTAACATTCTCAAGCATTATCCCGAGCCTTCTCTGCTCGCTGTCTCTACAGGAAATAAAATACTGTTCCACGTGTTATTTGACTGGCTCTCTTGTGTACTTAGTTGTATCCTTCATCTTCCTCCCTGAGGCTTGACAGTGCTCAGCTTGTCAGGATGAGGCCCCAGCATCCCTCATGTATGATTTGCGGTTTTCATTACTGTAAAGATCCTTCTGTTTTATGAAACTTTTTATCCTCAGATTTCTATAATGTGGTAGCTAATCAGAGTACTCGGGAAGATTTGGGTTATTCTCATTGCCCGTGTCTGTTTTAGCAATGCTACTGAAAGGACTGAGCTGGATTTTGTGTCTCCAGCCATGAGTTTCTTGTTGTGGTGGGAGGGAGGACCCCCACTTGCAACCCACTGCCTGGCCAGGCTTGCAACCAGGATGATTTCCTCCAGAAAAATATTTAGACCAGGAAGGCCATGAAGTGCCCAGTTTGGCACTTGAACCCATCTGGCAGAGGTGGTGAAGTGGGGACTGGCTTTTTGCACCCCAAGATGCAGTGGCCATCTGCTCCTCTGTCTCCTGGCAGAGTCACCAGGAGTCCTCAGGGCTCTGATCTCCACAAACCTTGGTGTAACAAGAAGTAACTGGAAATGTGTCCTGGTTCTCCTTCACCTCTTCCTCCTGACTTTTCCACCCCTCGCTAACCCTTGCCCTGGGGCTGCAGCCTTCTGTCCTATGCAAAAGCGAGCCCGGGCAGTGTCGCAGCACTCCTTTGCGCAGGGAATGAGGCATCTCAGATGCTTCTGAACGTGTAAAACACAGGCAATTTATACAGCACTGGCACATACACCAACACAGCTTGCACGCTGCTTGTAAATCTTGGCTTCCTCGAGGTTTTTACCGTGCATCATGACTTGCAATTCAGTATTTTATATGCAGGTAGGTCATTTCGGCTTGGGTCATCAAAGCTACACTGTGCAAGCCAGGCTCAGGAGGAGCTTGACTGTCAGTCTCCTGCTAATCTCAGTTTTTAGTAAAGATGCAGCCAATAATCTGTACTTGCAAAGGGAAAGGTGCTGGCATCAGGAGGGTCACTGAGTGGCTGTGCTCTCACCGTCAGACTGAAGAGGATTTTCTATGCTGACTATGAGCATTAAGGAAGCCAGAACAAAGATGACAAATGCTTTTGTAAAAGGGATTGTCAGAAGACACGGCAGGTTCAGTGATTATTGAGGCTTGTCTTAACAGGTGAGCAAAGTCTCCTGAGAGCAGTAAGCTGCTCTCCTGCCTGGCTGCAGATTGGCTGGAAGGCACTTTATTTTATTTTATTTATTTTATTTTATTCTTTATACAGCCTGTATCCTAGTTGGAATGTGTTGCTGCTTGTGTCTACTTAAAAATTGGAGTAAATAATTTTGAACAGAAAAATCATTCATGGTCTCTGCAAATGTACAGAACCAGTAAAAACACTAAGCTTGGAGATGTCAATAAAGTTGAGTCTTCATAGAGTCTGCCAGCTGGGATCCTGCCATTTACAGTTGCTTTAGAAGCACTTTCCTACTTGCTAACTAAACTGCTTTCCTTAAAGAAAGCAGGAGGAAAAATAATCTGAGCTAATACATATTAGTTGTTCAGATGATGTGGAAATGGTGATGAGAATTACCTAAAATGTGCTGGCTAAGAGATAAGCCTGTGAACTTTGCAAACAGTACATAGAGAATGGTATTAAAGCTTAGCAGAGTTCTCACCCTTGTTTTTTTTTTAAATTTACTGGGCTAATTAAGTGTCTCCATTACCTGTGGTGGCTAGGCATTTCATTCGCAGCCTACATCTATTTTCAGATCTATCTATATTTGTTGTCCTTCACAATTCCTGTAGTTACTTCCAGGTTGATATTTTTGTTCGGACATCTATTCTCTCAGTGAACAGACAAGCTTTCAATTTATTGAAGTTCATCTTGGTATGGCGAAGATTAAAGCATGGAATCGATTAGAGAGGAGCGCTTTGAATCCATAAAGTACAATCTGTCTTTCATTTACATTTCAGACCTTACTTCATCCCATATTTGACAACATTGACTCTACAAACCCTAACTCCACAAATTACTTAGGTACTAGATTTAGATGCAAATATACAATCATTTTCTGCCTGAACCTTGAGGACATTTTAAATCTTAGTTCACTAAATTGGCACATTCATAGAAGTCTTGGTGCCCCAGTTTCTGCAAAGGGCCGTGCACTGGCTCTACCAGAGGTCAACATCTGCTTGTTGTTATATTATGTCTCCTTTTAATGAAGATTTGAAGTTCTTGCTGATCTCCGTTTATGAACACCCGAATTAGAACATGCAGTCTGATTACAGCACTCAAGGAGGAAAAGGGAAACCCAGATTTCAAACTTTTTGATAGGTAAGAGGATGTAAACATACAAGTTCCACCTTGCAGAAGGTCTCACCACTAAAATACAGGCTATTCCCCAGCTCTCCTCTTCAGCCTCTTCTCCTAAACACCTATCAGAAATGGCATCTTCCCATTTCTGTGAGAACGCTCTAATCCCAGCCCTGAAGGGCTTTCTCGTTCCCTGCGACTATTGAATTTTTCTGTGCTGAGTGAAACAGCTCTTCATAGCCTTCAGCATATAGGACAGCATAGCAAGTACAGTTGGGACATACACATGCACACACACTAGAAGCAACCTCAAACCTATGGCTAAGTCATTAAACCAACTTCTTTTGAAAACATTCATTATCAAGAGCATCTCAGTTCTGAAGGGGAAAAAAAGTCCAAAGAAATTTAGCCACCTCTAAGAACATGGTATTTTAGACAGTGCCTTTCTACCTAATTAAATAATGTTTGCATAGTGCTTTGAGATCTTTGCCTAACAAGGAAAGCTAATATATTGCTATGTGTAAATGTTAGAATTAATAATTTAGAAAACACAGGAGTACAAACCCAGGTTACTCTTATCATTTCATCAAAGCCAGGTTTAACGATCTTCTTTTTTTTTGCCTGCTGGCTTAATCAGATAAGCTGCTGAATTCAATTAACTCATCAAACCTAATTTGAAGAGATCTTTCAAGTCAGTAAGAGCTTGTCTTGTGCTTATTATTTCTATTTGTTGCATGAAGTCTTTAATATCACCATTTTGTTAGGATAATAATGGTAGCCTTAATTGTGTTCTAATTTACTGCATTTACTCAGATGATGGCATTTTCCTCATTTTTTAAGTGTCAGCATGTGAAAATCAATCATGATTTAATTTAAGGCAGTGAAATGGCTCTTCTAGCCCTCTGTCAAGTCAGCTACATACTATCTCTTCTCCCACAACTGTAATTTGGGTTTGTAAGGTGAAATTATTTCATAGGAAATCATGTTGAGTTTCTGAAGTCCCATTTCCTGGAGAAGTGTTATGACAAAAATGATCATCTGGATGCTCTTTTGGGATGGTTTAACCAAATTGTTAGGCAATAAATGTGAAACTGAAATTGGTATTACAACTGTATAATTCATCTGAACACATCTGTGTGTGATGCTCCAGCTTGTTGTACCAGTCTGAAACTCCTTGAAAGTTACTGAAGAAAGAATTACTAGCAGAAAATTTAAATTGTAAAATTTGCTGTAAATTCTAACCCATTAGCAGGATCTTCGTTTGGCCATCTTTTCACATTCCTAGAAGATATGCCACGCAGAGAGGTGAGATCAAGCAATTGCTTAAAATCAAAATTTCCCTATAAATTATTTACTTGTTCTGTAAAGCATGCTCTACTGTAATGTAAGCTATGCTGCTGATAGAGACATTGCTAATTATGTCTGGAGCAGTTCATGTATAAATGTGAAAAGCCAGCTACATCCTGGGTGAAATCAAGTCCTTTCTTACTATTCCAGCAAGTAGTTTTGCAGAAGTAACCTTACTCTCAATTGCGCTGTCTTGCTTTTTTTTGTTTGTTTATTTGAGGCATGCTTTCAAGTGCACAATTAAATAAATTGTTTTTTTCTGTTTTCCCTTAGAATGACTATAGGAAGCTATCTATGCAATGCAAGGACTTTGTTGTGGGGGTGCTGGACCTGTGCAGAGACACCGAAGAAGTAGAGGCTATTCTGAACGGAGACGTGAATATACACTTGTGCCCCGAGCACCACCGGCCAAGTCTAAGCAGGATTAAACTTGCTATTAAATACGAGGTCAAAAAGGTAAGCTATTTCTTTTAGTCCCTGATGAATACATCTTCACGTCTAAATTATGCTTCCTTGATGCCACCTGAAAAATGATAAATGAAAGATAGATTTTAGTTGAACCAGGACTATCCGTAGAATTTTAGTGTTTTATGGCTTGACTTGCATTTTCTCACATACTTTAATATGGAGAAGGTTAATTGCAAAGGACATATTACAGCAGGTATGGCATTTATTTTGAAGTGATAGACATGGACGTATACATGGCGCAAAGAACTGCCTATAGAGCGCAGTGTTTCTTGTGCAGGTCGTGACTATGAATCTCTGATGACTTCAGCAGGGACCAAAAGTTGTTACCATACCAAAGTGAGGGATTTCCTTCCTTCATGTGATGTACATGAAGGTAAGGGATGAACCCAGCAGATGCCGTGGCACCTTTGTCCACAAATCATAAAAGCAGAGAATATAGTCCACATCCTCACCATTCCCAAACCATCTGTCTTTCGTTCAAACTAGATCTTCTCTTTCGACTGAGGAAAGAGCTGGACCCTGCAGCCTGATTGCAGTCAGCAGACCAAGTCTCCTTTCTCACCTGTCTGCTCTCAAACGCTCCCTGACCATTTAGCTCTGATCCACATCTTGTGTTAGTCTCCAAAGCCACTTGCAATGATCAGAAATGTTAACTTTTCTGTGATGTTACAGAAAGAACATATACAAAGAGTAGCAGTTTTGTCCTAGCCAAGACCATTTACTGCAATGTGATGGAAAGTGGCATTTAAATTTTAGAAAACGAAGTTTTGTAATTTTTGGTCAGAATTAGATCAAAACCTCAAAAACCAACACCTGACAAACTTGGAATTTTGATTTTTTTTTTTAAAGCATGTGAAAGTAGATAAACATTGATAAAGAGTGATAGATTCCTAGCTTCCACTCTCCTAAAGCACTAGATCCATATTCTAAGAGTTCAGATTTCTTCAGATCTGCAAAACAGAAGATGTATATTTTAAGGAAAAACATGAAGACTTGAATGACTTCTTTTAGAAGTATTTTAAACAAACATTCAGCTTTACGGAAGTATGTTGTGTGAACGGAAAATTTGATTCTGGCAAATCTGAGGCCTGGGTGGTCCCAACTAATTGCTCCTACAATATGCATTGATGGAAACTGGGCTCCCGCTATGGGACTCAAAGTGTGTTCCAAATTTTCAAGCTAACATCTGCTCTCTCTTTCCCCTCCCAAACCCACCACCTGCTTCAGTTTGCCTCTTGACTGTGCTGCTGTGCTGGCTAGAGAAGGTCTTTTCCTGTTATGAAAGCCATTAATTAAAGAGGATCTTAAAACTCTTATTTGGAATTAATTGCCTTCATGCAGGAGCACATAGTATGGAGCCAAATATTTCCTCCTAGGATGTTGTGTCTCTGCATCATTCTGTCACCAAAACTGAGCATAACATCTCAGTTCACTCTTAGATAGATGCCTTTCAACAAGCTGGGCTGAGTTGAGTTATTGAAGCTGTTGCTTTGGTAACACGAGGCCAAACTTGCTCTGGTGCTTTTTCATAAAATGAACTCATCTAAAAGACATTGATAACAACTCATCAAGGAATAGTCCTCAGTGACCTCTGGTTTGAGAATTACCATGAAGTTGGTCAGAACCTCAAGGCTTTTCAATGTATGAAGTCTTCTGCACTGTTTTGCTTGGTTATTCTTGTAAATATTTGTGTCATCCTTTAGATACCAAGACCATTAGCTGGAGCTAAATTGCTGTTAGTTATTGCGCTGCTTTGAGCACATTCATACTAGCTTAGTTGGTTTCAGAGGAACATTTCCTCCATTTCTTGTATTGTATATATGTGCACCTTTTCATAACGCATGAACACTGAACTAAAGCATCTGTGGGAGGTCATATACAGTTGGTCTTCTGTTGTATAAGTATCTTCATATACCCAGGAAAGCTGAGCATCCTTTCTGGATCACAGCAACTTGTTGCTCATCGATGACAACTGTTAAACTAATTACAGAACATAAACACGAGCATTGGTCAACCTTGTGTTGACTCTCAGGTCAGCACTTTTTACAATATTCTTTTCAGCAGGCAGTGTATGTTTATGTGTAAGATGATCATTTAACTGCTAACTGAAAAGTAAGATAGTTCTGTTTGTGGGAGGCAGAGACACATTCAGATAAATGGCTTTGGTTATTGGCAGTGACTTATGGTAATAGACTGATATTTATCACACTTGCTGAACAAAGAGATTGTGTTATGGGAACAGAGTCATGATTTCCTTAAGAGGCAATGCATTTCAGGTACAAGTTTTTTATCCAGCTGAGAGGTATTTAGGCTTATGTATACAAGCCTTGTCCTTTGAAATCTATTTTCATTTTGCGAAAATCCTATAATAGAGAGGGGTGAGATGAAGGGTGAATTATTACACCTATTTAATACATCAATTCTTGGACAGATTCTGTAAATTTCAAGTCACTTTTTCAAAGCTAATGCAATGACTCGTAGGCATAAGAAGGATCGTATGTGGTCCTCCAAGTGTGAAAGGCAGACCCAGGCAGGCGCACCGAGAGACTTCCCACCCACAGCACCCAAACCCCCAAGCCCCATCTCTTGGTCTGTCAGTGCTGCCTGCCCAGGCCAAGTCCAGGTGCTGAGACGTAAGTGGCTGTAACTCACTCAGAAACAGTTCCAGGGATGTGGAGACCTTTCTAGTTTTTTAACTGCACTCTGGGACTGGAATGACACAGAAATAGTCATACTTGCCTTTTTTTTTTTTTTTTTTTTCTGTCCTGGAAGTTTGGTTGGCAAGGTAGAACTAATGAATGGACTATAGCTGTACCTGCCACCACTGCTCCCCACCTCTACCATTAGCATCAATGTTCAGATGGTCAGTTTTGCATTCTTCAGCTCAACAAGCTCTAGATAAGCCAGAGAAATAAAGATGTTCTTGCTTAAATGAGTATAGAGCTCCTGAACTATTTTATATTCATTCTTTCCCATGAACAGCAAGAAAAATCTTAGACAAGACAACTTTAGGAACTTCAGAATGGTCTGAGAAAATAAAATAAAATAAAAGAGGTGTTAGTTCTTATGGAGTTTTTTTTAATTAAATTAGTATCCAGACTAAATATTTGCATTCATCTGAAATTTTAAGAAATATTTGATGTTTTAAAAAATCTGTTTCTACCATTAGCTTCTTAATTCACATTTCTGTATTAGTACTCTAAATACCTACATTAGGCTTTCCTTGATGAAAATTTGCAGAGAAAAATTTATGTTGAAAATTATTATTTAATATCCATGATTTTACTTTTACAGCTGCTGGTGCAGTCTGCATTTTATCACATTTTTATTTCCAGAGTCTTGGAAAGATGTCAAGGGCTCCCATCCTCAGGCAGGAGAGCAATTGCATCTGTAGAGCTTCATCAGGCCTTTGCACAAACTGTTAAAGTCTTCCTTGTTCTTTTAATTTTCTCTGTTACTTCATCATCCTCATACAGTGCAGTCACCGCAGCCACGGTGCCTAAGAATGGTGTTTTTCTTTAACTGTAGCAACTGGACTACCAGCTTCTCCCATCCCCTGCCCAGCTCACAGCTGTCATGGACTTGTCCTCCCCCTCAAAGGCCAATGGAGGCCAGGAGGAGGCAGAGACAGCAGAATTTTGAAACTGAGAGCCATCACATAGCATTTTATGGATTTGTCTTTTCCTTCCTATACGCCTATCTGAAAATTTTAGGGATGCAATTGATGCTAGATATGCAGTTCCATTTTTAAGTCCTAATTTTTGTTTGAACACAGTATCTTCTTGATCTTGAATTCAGCAATGGTGTTCCCCAATAAATCACACTTGGTTGGAGGTAGAGGCTGCACCTCCCTTGCGTGCACAATGCCTATTATGCCTGCACAGCAGGGAGCTCAGCCATCAACCTGGGGGAAGCTTTTAGCCCAAAACAGTGCTTCTTGTGCCTCTGTTTTGGAAGGGCAAGAGGGCAAGTCCCTGTTTGAAAATCCCCAAGTCAGGGGGCAACCTGCCCTTGAGTTGAATGTTCACAGACCTGTTCATTGATCACCTGCTCAATCGGTGCAAGAAAACCTTGTACTCGCATCAGGGCTGAAAAAGGGGACTGAAGCCTTCTTATCTCCTCTACTCAGTAAATCTGCATCTGGGACCTACAACAGGTTTCTGTCCAGGCCCTAAATGACCTTTCTTTGCACTTTTTCCTTTGCGCTTCCCATTAGAGTTCCCTGTTACCTCTCTGCTTTGCTACCCCCAAAAAAGCAATTCTCTGTTCAATTGAAAGGACAGAGTTTTATTGATTTTTTTTTTTTTTTCCCTAATTTACAAAATTTGAGATGAATCTTGGAAAGTCATTCAAGAAAGAATCAAAAGTTCCAGACTTCACTTCTCTCTCTCTTTTTTTGCTTTTTTTCTGCAAAGCATGCTACTAGCACATATGAGATGCTGGCAAAAAAAAGCAATTTTAAGGCTTTAATATAGCTGAAGGACTTTATATAGAAGGTCATTGAAGAATTAAGAAGCTCTGCTGGTACATATTTCGCAACAAGGAGAAAGCTAAAATCACAGTATTTTATAAAGTGGTCTTTAAAAATGCTCTATCACTCTAATTCTTTATCCTTCCTGAAAGAACTAAATAATCATTCTATACCCCAGGATTCTTGGAAAACTGCGCTCAAATGTCCTCTGTATGAATTTTCTAGAGTCATTTCTCCCTTCAAATTAGCTGTCTTAATGATTCATGATTCCTCAAAAATTATTACAATGAGAACAGTTTGTCAAAAGCAAAACAAACAATTTGCAAACATTTGAACATTTGCTGAGTCCTGGATTCTTTCCAAGAAATGGACTTTTAGCCTATGTTACGGGATCATTGCAAATTTACTATTGTCTCCCACAATATTATTTAGCTATGCTTCGCACTTGCATATTCCAGTCAAGAACAGATTTCTTTCTCCTCCAGCTGTGCAGGGTCTCGGGCAAAGGAGGGAGAAA